GCCATTCAGTTCATTTGTTACACTGGAAATGGAAAGTGAAGTTGAGTGCACCGAATTGTATGGAGTATTTCACTGAGTACTCAGATTATTTCTGTAAAACCTATAGACTATTTTCTGAAAAAATGCAGTAAAAACAGTAATATTGTTAAATATTACTATGATAAAACAATAAAAAGGGTAATTGTGACTTATTTCACCATTCTGACTTCTCAGAATTACAAGTTTATATCTCACAATTGAAAGTTATAAACGCAGAATTGAGTTAACATCTTGCAATTTATATCTTTGTCTAAGAATATATATAAACTCAGAATTGTGAGGGGAAAAAAGTCAGTTACCTTTATTATTATTATTATTATTATTACAATTACAATCCTGTGGTGGAAACAGGCTTCCATATTTTTCAAGGCTTTTGTTGTGTGTGTGTGTGTGTGTGTGTGTGTGTGTGTGTGCGTGCGTGCGTTCGTGCACAGCAAATTTCTGAAGTTGAAAAATCAGGAGTTAGGCAAAAAAGAGTGAAAGAGTTAGATTTCTGGAGTTTATTTTTTTAACTCTGACTACAGTCTGAGACAGTCCCTGTCTGTTTTATTATGGAGTTCATTAATTGGTGTCCAGGAGCGTGTTTTAACACCACATCTGGAGTTAAATGTTGAGAAGTGTTTGTTTCTCAGATTTTCTCCAGCAGAAGTTTCTGATACCAAAGAATACAACAGTGAAAGTCACAGATGACCATTGCATAGAGGTGGATGAGGATGTCTTTCCAGAACTTGCAACAACCAAAGAAATGTGTTTTATCATCCACACTGATGATGGTAGGACATTAAAAGAATGTTTGTTTTGTTTTATAGATATTTTCTGAGACAAACTGTGTGCATTTCAGAACTTCCATTTGCTGAAACATCCAAGAATTCTGCTGACTTCTCAGACCTGACAGAGTTTGGTGCCTCTTCAAATCAGACAGAATATGTTACGCTCACTACATGTGGTAAGCAGAGTTATATGTAATGTGATTATTTTGTCTGACCCTGGATATATCCAGTACCAGGGAGTTTATTCCAAAGACCAGAACTTGCTGTGTGTGTGTTTGTGTGTGTGAACTTTAGTTTTCAGAATTATTTGATAAATAGCAAGTTCAAAATAAGTTCTATGAAACAAATTTTAGTAACAATGTAAAACTCTTTACTGTCACACAATTGAATGCATCCTTACTGAGATTACTATTGATTTCTTTGGGGGGGGGGGAAACCTGGCCCTAAACTTTTGAATGGTAGGGTAGGTCAGTTTCCACAAAAATATGAAGCAGCAAAACAGGATATTAAAGTTAACTAAAAATATGGTAGTTAAGCAAACAGGAATATTAATAAAAAAAGGACATATCAAGGAACTCAAGTCACAAATCTGACCTATACTTTCATCATTTAAACATGCAATACACAAAGTTTCTCTGAGAAACAGAGTTGCATGTCAGGCCACAGTGTTGTTGAAAACTTTTTGTAATTATACTCTAGTACTGTGAGATGCCAGTGGTTTACCATGCAGTTGTCAGAAAGTAAAACTGGCAGTGATCCAGAAAGCTTCCTGCACAGATGATAATTAAAACTGTATAAAACTTAACAGCACACTCAGGATATATTGTTTCTGCTTGGATTCCTGCAGTCCACTTTGTGGCACCTGTTCTACATGCTTCGATCACTTGTTTCTCTTCTTTTCTCTTTGTTTCAGCAGACCTCTATAAATATCCCACCCACTCTCCCATGGCCCATGCGGCCCTGATCTTTCCTGAGGGAGAGGAAATGTAGGCTGATTCAGGGACCCGATCTTTCTCCTGGGAGAGAGGAGAGCCCAGTGTTGGGAGGGATATGCCTTGTATACAGTGGAGATCTCTGGAGGTTTGCACTGTACTGTTCAGTGTGGACAAAACATGGGCAACCATGAAAGGCAAGAACAACAATGAACATCAGATGAAAGTGGAACAATGCTTTTTCATGCATACTTTTGATTGGCTAATGTTACAAGGGTTTCAAGTCAACATGACATTGTTTGCAACCCATTTTACTTGTGAAATGTGATGCATTGTTGAATTGTGAACAAGACCAGGAATTTGCCTTACGTACAGTAAGTAAATTAGGTCAATTTTGATTTCATGTTGACTTTGAAGAGACGTTAAAAAGGCCTACATTTTTGAGAAATAACTGTGGAACTTTCTTGATTCAGCAGAAAGCGGAGACATGATTCTTTAACATCTTTTTTTCTTTTATTACTGTTTACATGTCCAGCATGGATTGTTAAACACACTCAGAAGATGTGAACAAACACAAATGTATAAAAGCCTCAGTTTAATACTATGCAAATACCTTGTAAAAGTGACTAATTATGGAAAAAGGCCATAAAGGAGTGTCAAAATCAGACAAAGAACGGGCTGAAGCGGGAATAAGACAGCCATAAGGCCTGAGTGAGCCCCTGAGAGTGAGCGTTTCAGATATCCTTCAAGCTCGTTTATGTATTCCTCATTGATCTGAGCGACTGTAGGAGAAGGTAGAGGGCGTCGGGGGAGGGACGGAAGAGCTTTTATGTCTGATTAACTCTCCTCCAAATCTCCTCGGACGACAGGAGCACTGTGAGGAGGGGCGGATCGCCTGGCAACGATATTCGGCGGGATTCATCAGTGACAGCATTCCGATCATGACTGTCCTGTGTCTCCTCTACTCTTCCAATAATATTTATCAAAGTACTTTTTTGCTCTACCTTGTCTGACAGGGCAATATTTATAATACCACTCACTTTCGTTCTCTCCTCTACGTCTGCCTCTCCCAGTGCGAAAGGAGAAACTCTCTCGCTGATTGTGAAGAGTAAATGACTGAGATTTTGTCAGAGGCACTTTAAAAAGTGGCGGTGGTTTGTTTCTTCATGCTTTCCGTATCCGAGTATACTAGCTGAGTTTATGTAGGTTAGACACTAGACTAAGCAAACACCACAGAAAGCAAACACAGACCTACCTGACAGCGGTTATATCTTACAATGTTAGGAAACTTGCCTAATTTGTCTACTTTGCCTAGTAGATCACATCAGCATGAATAAGTCGTGAATGAAACAGGGATCCTGTTTCCGCTGGTGGTCAAGGAATGCGCTCCAAAAATAACTGGCAGTGGACCCTGGCAATGTGGGCCATGGGATTGTGTGCCAGCAAGCTCTCATGTAGGGATGATATTGCTACACACACACTATCTACCAAGCATCTCAAGCTTAGGCCAAAAATATACTCTACGCAAGTATGCTAACACAGATGTGAATGCTAGGCCAATGCACTTCAAGTGGACCGTCTCATCAGATATACTTAATGTGCGTTCATATTCAAACCTCAGTACTCAAGGTAAGGTGATGGAGACCTTGAAATGTCAAGTATTAATGAAAGCTTTATTCAGGTAGCTATGTCGACAGTTTAACTAACCTAAACTTGCTCAGCAAGATTCGCTTCAAACTAATGCTGCCTAACAGTAAGAGGCTTGAAAAAAACATCTAGCCACAGAAGATCCTATTTGGAAATTAATTTACTTTTACATTTATGCTAATATACGCTATAGCGCCCCTCGTGGAAATGCTGAGAATGCAACATAAAATTGAGGTAACTAAACACGTCCACATACATGCGTATGAGTATGTTTCAGCCTTCTAGAGGGAGCTTGCTTTGGGTTTATCCCACTCCTGCTTGTTTATTACACCCCCACCCCTAAAATATGCCATCACTGTAATACAATACAGTTCAGACTCTTACTAACACACCATAAGCCCTTTCACAAAGACTTAAGATATAAGGTTTCTGCATCTAAACCCTTTTCATTTGAACTCACAGTTATCCCTGCTTCTTTCCCTCTCGTTTCAGCCCACCTATGTCAATGCAAGTAATATTTGGGCTTTGGGTTGGGGTAGAAAGAGGTTATCAATGGCTTTCACCTCCTGCTGTTTTTAAAATTAGACTATTACCTAACATTCCCTACAACAGTGGGCCCCACTAAGGCTTTTATTTCTAATTGGGCCCGAGAAGCTTTCTCAAGTGTAGCCCACCTATGTCAATGCAAGTAATATTTCTTTGGTAGGGAGAGCTTTGGGTTGGGGTAGAAAGAGGTTAGCAATGGCTTTCACCTCCTGCTGTTTTTAAAATTAGACTATTACCTAACATTCCCTACAACAGTGGGCCCCACTAAGGCTTTTATTTCTAATTGGGCCCGAGAAGCTTTCTCAAGTGTATTTTACGGAGTTTTAAATTGATGTACGTACGCTAGTGGTATTCATTTTATAGCTCTTTTGTTCAATCAAATGAAAATATGAAAATGCTATTATATTAATATGCACGCAGCAAATGGCTTCAGCACCAGCAAAGTAAAATATTGCTTAATGTCTCAAGTTTTTTCAAACCCTTTAAATGAAAGCAACCTAAGTGTTATGTTTCTCAGACAATAAAATGTATAATTGCCACAGTGTCATGGGACATTTGGGAGATAAAAACACTTTAGCTTGCAAGGAAGAAATCAGGAGGGCTCTAAAAATATGGACAGGACCACATAAAACATGTCTGACTGGCACAACCAAGGCACAGTTGTTAAAACAAGGGGCAATAAAATGTGACTTTTTGTTATGATCGCAGTAGGTAAGCAAAATTGAGAGAAAAGTCCCTATTTTATGACATCAAAACAAATAGCAGGTAAAATTCAGCCAAATGCAACTGGACTTAGTTACTGGTTGAATAACCAGGTCCAGTTGCTCCAAAAAGGAGGGTCGATTAATGCAATATTAATGCAATGTTTTTTTAACACAATAAATGCTTTCTATATTAAAATATTATTAGCATAACAATTTGAGCTGAAAAAAAATTACCATGATTTTCTTCACTCAAGCTGCATGAACAAAAACATTTTTAAAAATGAAGAATGAAAAAAATCCTAAAACTTCCTATTTATTTTTAGGTTTCATTTAGATTTTGAATCCCAGACTTTCCATGTGGTCTCAGACGTCTGAACCCCACTGTATATCAACAAGTTATGATGCAAGTGGCCGCAGTCCTTACAGTCTTTATGATGATATATTACGACTTGCCCGGCCAGTTGGAAAACCACAGCTGAGAGTCCTGAGAAAAGGTGAATGGATGCAGAAATATTCCTAAGAGAGATATTCCTTTCTCCGCTTTCCTTTTCCTCTCTTTTTGCTCTGCAAGACTTCCCTTTCATCATTTATGCTGTAATGGCAGATGACTAATTGTGACATCCTAAAATTACAAATTAAGAAAAAACCCACAAACAACTGATTTAAAAGAAAATAAGATATTATGAAAAGAAAAACCGAACAAAAAAATCAATGTGCAAACTTTCTGATATAAATAGACTAGTCAATATGTTAGGAGAGCACCATGAGAAAGGAAAAGAAGGGTGAAGATGAACATGATGTGTGTCAGTATCTGTATGTATGTGTATGTTTGAAAGCATGTGCATGGTGGTGTTTTGTGTGCGCAAAGTTTTTGGACGTGTGAAATGAAAGGGCAAGAACAGGGATCGAGGGTCATTCTGAGAGGTTAAACCCAGTCCTGCAGTGAACGTCTGCAGTGAACTAAATACGTGGGTGCTCCTTTCCTCTGTAGTGTGTTAATGATTGCGTAGATCAATCCCAAGATGCACAGCACCAGGACCAGGGGTACCGTCACCATGATGATGTTCATGGTGCGCTCTGTCTCGTCTATCTTCAGAACCACATCCACCTCATTCGTTTTCTCTTCAGTCTCCTCTTTAGAGTCAACATCATTGGTCTTGTCTCTCTCTTTGTCCTTTTCCTTGTCTTTGTCTTTGTCTTGGCCAGCGTCTGGGTTGAAGGGTGGCCTGTCAGGCCACTTGCGTCCCGGATCCACATCAGTGTCTCTGTCAGGATTGAGGTCCACATTACAGCCCATGAAGTCTCTAAGAATAGACTTTGGGTACCCCGGCTCGCTCTTCATTCTGTGGTTGTCAAATTTCCAGTACTTTGTACCCTTGTAGAAGTACGTATAAGCTGTGTGAGAGACAAACAAGATTGGAGAGAGAAAAATGTGTTAAAAGTGCATCACTGAAATTACATAAAAGCTAAACCAGATAGCTTATCAAAATTATAAACTATAAAACTATACAAAAACTATACAAAAATAACACACACACACACACACACACACACACACATATATATATATATATATATATATAGTTCAGTCATTATATATATGTGTGAAGTTTTTCTTCAAATGTGACATGAATGCATTTTCTTGGATTGAAAAATATGGAGAAAAAAATAAATGGTTTAAAAATATTTTAAAAATAGACAACAAATAACTAAAAAATATATTGCCATATGGGTTGAGACTGTCAGGTTAAATGAATGTGAAGCTCAACTGTAAATGTATATTTTTAGTATATAATGGAAGTCTATGGGATGAACATTAAAATACACACTTGGCCTATTGGCACTTAGTCGCCTTCTTGATGGATCAGACTGCCATCTCAGGTTCTGCGCAATACATTTACAGCTGACCATGTAAATAAGTACAGTATAAATACATTTAAATCTGAACTACTATTTTTGGTCTATGCAACGGATTTAAATTTCATGCAATTGGCAGACAGCTGAGGTGATCCTGAGGTGGTCTGAATAATCAGATTGCTAGCCGTCTCAAATTTGTAATGAAACTCTCTACCGTTCGCACATTACCTTCAAGAATACCAGAACGGGACCATTTACAAAGACAAATCCAGCCACTCGAATTACATGGGTAACACATGACTAGAACTTAATCCAATAAACGGACAATTCAGACTGAAATTTACAGCTCAAATAACATTAAATAGCATTAAATAAGAAATTTTTGCTTTAACAAAACTACAAGCTGCACATTTCTGCTTTTAAACTTATAAATGTACTATTACATGTCCATTACTGTACTTTTTTCAAACTTAGGACTTAAAGACTTTTAGAAGGCAAAATTATAGTCTATCTATGGTAATCGATTGCATGCCACAGATCCTGTCGACACATTTTAATTTGTTTTAAACCAGGAACATTCCAATAAATGGGAAAGCGCTTTCAGTGATATGTGTTTCCATATAATATTACATTATTTCCTCAAATCACATTTCACACATTACATTCTCTCACTTCCTTTGTTTCACCATCTGATTGATCTGATTGATCTCCATCCATCCTGTACATTAAGGTGACAGGCACTGGATGACCCCTCAACCCCACACACCATTTCACTCACTCACCTCCATCATCGCTGAGGAAGGCCCCCTTGGGAGAAGACGGCACAGAAGTGCCCCACACACTGATTGGCTTAGGGTAGTCCTGATCTGCGGCTCTGGAGTGCTCATTAAAGCGCCAGTACCTGTAGTTTATCAAACACACCTCAATGCAAATCATTCTGCCTTTTCTTGATGCAGCCATTTAAGCAACAGCACAGAGACCCCATTTACACATGCTATTAACATTTATCACAGATGATCTGATCACAAGGGCACAGCACTGAAACCACTAACCATATTCCATGTGGTCACTTTAAATTTTTATCATAAATGCTGATGCAAAACAAACACTGATAAAAACCTACTTATTAGGGGTGACCCCGAATAGTCGACGTTTCGATGCTTCGATAGGAGGAGCCTGATTCGACTACCAATCTCACAGTCGAATATTCGCTGAGGTGTTATGATCATGCCATTTTGGCTATATGGGGATGCTCAAATGTCTGATTTCACATAGAACTACCGGTTTTCTCCCAGTAAGTTAATATACATAATACTGTAAATAAGAATCTGAAAAGAAATAAGCTTTAAATAAATATTTTAACGTGCGTGAATAAATCCAACCACCCCTATAGATTTAAGTTTCACTTTCCATAATCTGTGACCGACAGAGGAGCATCTCGGCGGCATGGATTTAAAACTTTAACAAGACTCAAACAGGTAGAGTGAAAGACTGGATTTTTTTCGATCAGGTAGGTTACAAGTGATTTCAAAACATTTCAGCCGCTTAATATCGTGTATATATTATTTATCTCGTATAAGATGCATTTGGTTGAGTTGCGCTGCAGTAAAGCGCTTCATTGTAGTGCTTTTTGTAGGTGATTATCTCTTCAGCGCGCAGGGTGAGCAGCACAAACACCAATGCATAATACTATGACTGGAACTGTCATATACATAACATTATAATGAGAACACTATTATAATAAAACGCTGTGAATTTTTAGAGTTTAGTTGCCGTGTTTCTGCACGTTGTTGCGTGAAGAACGTGTCCACAAAAGGAGTTCATTCAGAACCACAGTTCATGTGCATTCGGGGCATTTTGTGCAGCTAGCCTATAAGTCGTAATATTAACGTTATGTTGTATAAATTACAAAGCGTATACTATATGAGAAAAATCCCATTGATTAAACCCTGCTATCACATGCTTCATTCTACTGGTCATCTTCAGCGCGCGCAGCTCAAAACAGAAATGCAGAACATTAATAACTACTGTCATATACATAACGTTATAATGAGAGCACTATTGTAAAAAATTTTGTGAATTCTTAGGGTTTAATGTTAACTATCTTTTAATCAAAACATAAAACATTATTTACCCCGTTTGTATCTGCAAGACACCCGTTACACATTTTCCCTGTGTGTTAACGTCAGTAATTATGGCTGTCGAATGTCTGACTTGACTCTTGGTCATGTATTTTGCCCCCCACCCCCCAAACATATGATTCGACTATCAGGCGACTATCAGCAAGATTCGAAAAATCCGATTCGACTATGAAAATCCTTAGTCGGGGACACCCCTACTACTTATGTAACATTTTATCATTGTGCCAAATATATATGAACAAAGTTGACATCTAGATTTATCACATTTTAATCAAAAATTTAAATTTAGTTACATGTTGCAGCCAAGTAAAAAGTACTATCTTACGTATATTTAATATTCAATTATAAAACAATAAAATGTATAAGTGTATTTATTATTATTATTCACAAATATCAGGTTTTTTTAAATGAAAAATTTTTGGGGGAAATAATAAATTAACCTTGCTTTGTCATAAAGAGGTCCATAACATAACATAATCTGATCCATAACATAAATTCCTTTTCCATAATTTTCTGCATAGTTGCACCACATGACTTGATTCCCTTTCGTGGAACTTCGAACTGCGTCCTCTAGGGGTCGCTATGGGGAACGCCTCGTCGTGACCCGTGTCTGAAGCCTACATTGAAAAAACACCAACTTGTTTGGCCGGCGACAGCCATGACGTCACTACCGTCGCGACTAGTACAAAATAGGAACGCATGCTATGAAGCACTGTCAAGATCATGCCAAACCAACAGGTGGTGATATAATCTCAACCGCAAAGCCATGTTGGCCAATCAGAAGCCTGAAAAAGTTTCCAGTAGGCGGAGATAACAGCGCAGGCTCCGACGTCACAAGCCAAAAACTCCGGTTTCGATGTCTACACGATAACACTGCAACCGGAGTTTTTGAAAATCTTCACTCTGGCAGGCATTTTTTTCAAAAATTATCGGTTTCAGTGACCTGGTGCTGCGTTTGCGTGTGGACGAACGACCAAACAGTGTAGAAAATGCTGCGGTTTTAAAAATAACCGCGTTCGTGTGGACAGGGCCTAAAACTCTACCTGTAAAATCCATCAGACTAACACATTAATGGCTGAGGGAAATCAAGGGTACTTCCTGTACTAAATGACAAACGTCAAAATCAATGGTTTGTTCTAATGTAAAAAGCACTTCAATGTGATGTAATTCTGCCAGCCTGGGTAATAATTTCTCTCATGAATATAGCATTTTTATGGTCTATATTAACTTTTAACAGCACAGAGCTAAATCAGTTTTCAAGTGCAGTCGGAAAGGGAAAATACCTTTGAAAAACACAAATCGCCCATCATGCCTTTCATATGCAGCATCAATGTCTCCCGGCAGACCCCTCCAGAAGTGTCCAATAGGCATTGGGTAGTTATCCAGCACTCTGTTCCTCCTCACTCTCCAGAACCAGCGGCCCTGAGGAGGCAATAAGACATGAATTACCAGCATTCTTCAAAATATCTTCTTTTGCCTTCAACTGACAAGTTATGCACAGAAGTTGAATATTTAGGACATCTGACCAATAACATGAGCAGCTGCAGTAGTCGTAATGTTTGCAAACACAAACAAATCATGTATACATTCTATGTAAAGACAAACACATCAGGTACATGGTACATACACTCATTGTATCCTTTACACTTCTGGCTTTCCACCAGGACCTTCAGTATGTTCCAAACCAAGCCCAAATTAAAACCAGAGCCGAGTCTACGGCCAACACACTCTAAATTTATCCTGCTTTCTCCTTACACACTCCTCAACCCCAACACCTCATCACAAACAGACACACGTGCACACACACACACACACACACACACACACACACA